GATGACCATCGTGATCAAGGCCACCGGAGGAGCTACCACGGTAACTCGCCTGCGACTTCCCCGTTTCCTGAAGGGTGCAGGCCTAATTGTCACATATGTACTCAAATAAAATTTGTCATGAACAAAAACTCATACATTTAGAGGAGGATTAATCACCGTTATTGTTGCTTCTGGCGCCATGTGTCTACAGCTGGAAGAGGTGCTGGTGCCGGGCGCGCAACTACTGGAAAAAGGCGGTGTTGCGGAGATCACCTTTGACATCCCTGAGGACAGCTTGGGCCTAAGGCTGGATGCTAAGTAAGACGCCATGCTGTTGGATTCTGGCAACTGGCTTGTAATCCGAGTATTATTTTTAAATTTTCCAAATAACAGTGTTGAGAAACAGTGACTATGTATCTGCATAGCAGTGCTGTGTTAGCAGCTTTGGTGTATCTATCAACCTTAAACTGCTCTAGAAGACGAAGTCTAATCTTAGTTTGCTCTGATGTCCACAGTCTCGTTACCAGTAGCGGGCTGACAGCGGGAGCGACGCTGGTGGGGGTGCCTCAACACTCGCCCAAAGGCCGCCGCCTCCAGGTCGACACTTCCAGTAGTGAAACCACGCCCGGGGAGTTCATCATACTCCACGTCAGAAATAACTTCTACATTGAACATTTTAATTATGTGGTGGGTGTTTTATAAACTATCAGCTGTTGTTTTCTACGTTCTAGATTGAATCTGCAAATTGTTGTTGAGCGTGACCCTCTTACACGAGGAATCCTTTCTGTTGCAGGTGATGGGCAAAGGGGTGATGGTGTATAGCGGCCGCGAGCCAGTGACGGACCCCGGCATCAGCACCGTGACTACCTTCTCTCTTCCTGCCTCGACGGAGATGGCTCCCGTCGCCCACATTCTGGTATGGGCGGTGACCCAGGACGGCCAAGTGGTTGCCCACGCCATCGCTGTCCCTGTGAACCCGCTGGGAAGGCATGAGGTAGGTCAGACAGAGTCAGTGATGCTGAATGTCAATATCAGAATAAATAAATAAACAAAGACTTGTTTGTATTCACTGATCATATATATGAAATCAAGCCGTTCACTACGATACCGGTTATCCTACTGCTGCTGCTGTAGGTCGGCATCAGATGGAATGAGCACAAGGACCACTCCGGAGGCAGCGTGGAGATGAAAATGTTGGGCGAGACGGGGGCGTTCTTTGGCATCTCTGCCGTGTGGGAAGAGACGCACCGGATGGATTCTGGCCATGAACTGGACAAGTTCCGCGTGCTGCATTACATGATGGACCTGGAGAGAAATGACACGTCATTTTTGGAGATCAGAAATTACAGTATTCCTCACATCCGTCGCGCCGCTACACGGTATCTATTGCTCCCCTGGCGTTTATTTTCTTTTCGCGTTGCATATCGTCCAGTTTCCTGGTGGTTTGTATCTTTAATCCACTGCTCACAAAAAATCGCATCAGACACAGAATGTATTCCTTGCAGGTCACGTGACGGCCAGGGCTCAGATGTTTTCTTCTTCCCGACGTCCATGGCGGGTCCGGACGCTCCGTCCACATTCAATTTCAGCGACCTCGTCATTCTCACTGACGCTGACCTCTTTTATCACCCTCACCATGCCTCAGGTTGGCCGCTTTCTATGAAAACAATGAAACATTATTCAATCAACCACAGATGGCCTACCATGTCATAACTTTGTTTTAATGATATTCCAGATGCACCAGACTGCAGTCCCAATGAGCTCAAATGCCTGACAGGGGATTGTTATACAATGGATCAGCGGTGCAACGGCGTCTACGAATGTCCCGATCGGTCAGACGAGGCTGGATGTGAGTGCTGATATTCCATACTCTTGAGCGCGCGTGGCCATCTGCTTTTGTGTCAGACATTCACAAACTTATTTAGAGGATGATCGCAGAGTTCTGAGCGTCTTTTCACTCAGGTCCAATCAACGTGGATCCCTTGCTGAGGTTCCGCATAAACCGCATCAGCCGCCTGAACCGCTTCTACGACCCCGAGGACGGTGATTGGGCGTGGGCGGACCTCCAGGAAGAGGGTAACGAGATCATGGTGTTCCCCATCCCCAAACGGCCGCAGACGTGGGTTGTGTCCATGTTTTCTGTTGGAAAGGAGTTAGGGCTCGGTCTTCTGGAAGAGAAGATCCAGGTAATACACAATTTCCTCCTATCTTAAAAAATCAGGCGGACGATATAGTTAATAAGGTATTCCTTTTCGTCTTTTATTCCGATTGAAACATTCTGTGCTCTAACTCAAGTTTATATGTGATTAAAATATAACTGCGATTTTACCTCCAGTTCGACTCTGCTGGGCCTTTTATGCTGACACTCGAGGGTCCGCCCGTTGCCAGGCAGTGGGAACAGGTGGGGCTGCGAGTGTGCGTGTTCAACTTCCACAAAAGTAAGGTCGGTGTGCTGATCACACTACCTCACTCTGACGACTATCGCTCTGTCCTCGTGGAAGAAAATGGGGTCGTTACATCG